TCGCATTTATTCATGTTTTCCATCTCATATGTTTATTGTTTTTTCCATATACTCTTGTGGGACTAATAGTTGTTTTGGAGATTGTGGCATTAATAGTTGTTTTGCAGATTTTGACCGTCAAAAAGAAGTTTTGTTTTTGTTGACTGTTATGGGTTGGGGTGATTAGGATTTCATCTGTTAGGTGGGTTTTGTCACGGCATTGCCAAAGGGGGAGATTGTTAGGTTTTTATTATTGGCAACCCCATTTGACAAAACTCCTTTGAGTTGTAATTTTATTCGCATTTATATTTCAGTGAGGCTATGAGTTGTTAGAGGTGAATCCAATCCGAATCGTGCTTTGCAGAGAAGTTTGTGATGTCAATGTATACAAGATTACCACTTCGCTGATTATTACGGGGGTCGAGCTACCCGGTCAGCTCGCAGCCCGAAGCAAAATGCAAAAATGCATTCAAAGTTGCCTGTCCGATCATGTTATTCTTTTCCAGTTTTTCCAGTTTTGGCCTTCCCGCTCGAGCGGGGTTTGCGAGCTCACAGCATCTCTACTACGCCTGAAAAAAATATTGGACGGTGTGATTCCCCGCTCGATCGGGGAAACGGACGCTCGAGCGGGGAGCCTATATGAAATCACAAAATATGAAGTATCCGCTCGAGCGGGAAGACCCACGCTCGAGCGGACCGCGCGATCCCAGATTTCCAGATTTGCTACGGAGTTGGTTTTCTTCTGAAACTAGGATTGCTTTGGTTTTCTATAAATAGTTGGTTTTCTCCCAACACTAAAGGAACTTCTCCAGATCTTCTTTTTGAATCTTAAGGTTTATATCTGGAGATATTTTGCTAGTTTCTTTGATGTTTTTATTGAGTATTCAACTCATGGTTTAAAGAGAGTACATCAAAGGCTTGGTTTGTTATACACAAAAAAGAGAGTTGTTCTTCGGTGGAGTCTGAAGAATTAGAGCCTGAAGCTTCGGTGGATCTTGGAGTGGCTCTTTAGAAAGACAATTCCGAGATGAAAATGGGATTGGAAGATGCACATAGAGGTTGGTTCAATTAGGCGTTATGGATTCGCCAAGTAATTGAGAGTATACTTGTGTAATTCCTTTATATCTTCTTAATGGATTGTCTTGTGGCTGTTGCCCGTGGTTTTTTTATCACAGTTGGAGGTGTCCAATTGTGGTTTTTCCACGTAAAATCATTGTGTCGATTTATCTTTTATTGTTTGATTGGGATTGTTATATTCTGCTTAAAATTGGTACATAATCACAAATCAACATCTAGGGTTTCTAGATTTTTCAATTGGTATCAGAGCGGGTCGTTCTATTTTTATTTTTATTTTTTTAAAAAAAAATCTTTTAGAACGCTCTATTTTTTTAAAAAAAAAATTCTTTTAGAACGAGATCTTATTTGATTTGTGATAATGGATTCAATTCGTGAGGGAAATTATATGGTTCGACCACCCCTACTTGACGGATCCAATTATTCTTTTTGGAAAGCTCGGATGAGATCTTTTTTAAAATCTATTGATGAAAAAGTTTGGCAATCCGTCATGAATGGGTGGATTGAACCAACAATTACTGTTGATGGAGTAACTTTCCCCAAACCAATTGATAAGTGGGACACAACTGATTACCAAAATAGTAGCTGGAATAGTAAAGCTATCAATTCTCTTTTTTGCGCTGTTACACCTGAAGAGTTTAGTCATATCTGTAATTGTGAAGTTGCAAAAGAGGCTTAGGATATCTTACAAACTATTCACGAGGGCACTCCTTCTGTTAAACGCTCAAAACTTCAAAGGCTCACGTCTAGTTTCGAAAACCTTTCAATGAAAGATAGTGAGACCTTTGATGAATTTTATGCGAAGTTGAGTGACATTGTAAATTCCAGCTTCAATTTAGGTGAAAAAATACCAGAATCCAAAGTTGTGGGAAAAATTTTGAGATCCTTGCCCGATCGGTTCCAACCAAAAGTTACGGCTATTGAGGAGGCTCAAGATGTTGACAACCTCAAGCTAGATCAGTTGGTTGGAAATCTCCAAACTTATGAGGCACATAGGAATTTCAAAAAGAAACAAAAAGATATTGCTTTTAGTAGTGCTCATAGAGTTGGAGAGGATTCTGATGAGGATTGTGAGATAGATTCCAAGATTACATCTGCTTTTGTTAAACAATTTAAAAAATCTTTTCTGAAAAAGAATTCTAAACTTTTAGAATCTACTCATACTCATAAATCTAAGGGCAAAGATAAGTTCAAAATTAATTCTATAGCCAAGAAGGAGAAAGGAAAGATACAAGGGAACTCTGAAAGTGTCCAATGCTATGAATGCCAAGGATTTGGCCACTTTGCTTCAGAATGCCCCACTCGGTTGAAGAAGAAGAAAGCCCTCGCCATCACTTGGGATGATGAATCAGAATCTGATAAAGATGAAAGTGACAACGAAGGTCAAGGCGAAGAGGGACATAAGCAATTCTTTGCTTTCGTGGTGGCTTCCGAAACTGAAGGACAAACAGAGTCTCCGAAGAGGTCAGTTGAGAATACCACTGATGATGAATCCTCGGAGAGTGATAATGAAGAGCTTGAGCAAGCTTATGAAAAGGAGTCTCTTAATTTATTCAAATTGAATGACAAACTCACAAAGAAACTCAAAGCATGTGAAGGTGAGAATGTCAAACCTAAGGAGGAGATTTCCGAGGCTAGGATCAATGCCATCAAGATAGCTGATGATCAACAAGTTCTTTGTGCAAAATTGTTGACTTGTGAGACAGAGGGGGATGAGCTACAGGAAACTCGTGCCATGTATGAAGAAAAGATTGAATCTCTTGAGATGTCACAAGTTACCTTAGAAGAACTAATGATCAAGAAAGAGGAAGAGCTCAAGGTTGCCATGGTTACTATTGGTCTTTGGAACAAAGGATCAAAGACTTTGGAGGATATCATTGGGTCTCAACAAATCTGTTCAGACAAGAGTGGCATTGGCTTTGGAGATAAGAGAGAGCAAAAACAGAGTGCTTCCACATCTCTTGATACAAGAACTCAAGGAAAGGGAGGACAAAAGATTCAACAAGAGGAAAGACTTCTCAAACTCCCTAGAGTTGGTAAGGTAAAAGAAAAGAAGGTACACCCTGTTTTTATTTGTCATCATTGTGGTATGCATGGTCATATTCGCCCTTATTGTTATAAGTTGCATGGGAGAGTGTCTCAAAAGGGTAGAAATTCGAATACTTTTTGGGTTAGGAGACAACCTTACATGTTTAGGCAGAATACCAAGATTCATGAGGGTGTTCACAATGCCACGACACATACCAAGACCGCTAGACCTAATTTTGTTAAGACCAAAAAGATTTGGGTAAGAAAACTTGATTTGTGTTAATTTGTTTTTTTCGGTTTTAGGTTTGTGTGTGTTTTTTTTATTTTTTATTTATTTATTTATTTATTTTTTTTTAAAAAAATAAAAGCACCTAGGATGTCCTATAACAAGCAAGGTGACCAAGTGAAAGACTATACTACAAAGACAAAAAAATCCATCAATCATGAGTCCTGAAAAGTTGAAAAGATTTGAAGCACCAGATCATGAATACAACAGATAGTATTAAATCAAAGTCATAAGCATCATAAGAATGAATAACTCAAACACACATGAGAGCTCACATAAACAAAGTGTGTGTGTGTGCAATCCTTGAGAGCCACAAAGCTAGAGTTAATCCTCGTAGTGATCTGATGGTTGGACCTCCGACACGAGTAACTGACCATCACAGAGAAAAGTCAAACCACTAGGAATCACGGGGTATTTGTTGAGTAAATGCGGAGGCTCCCCCTCAAGTAATGATCCTTTTCTTTTTTTTTTTCTTAACTTTTCTTTCTTGTTGGCACTCACTGGTGGCATACACGCTCAAGAGTATGGAGACCGAACCAGAGAAGAATTAAATCAAAAGGATGGCCTGGTTGGTGCCTCTGAGGTAGCCTTTTCCTAATGCCCAAATATCATGTACTTAGGGAGCAACCATGGAAGTGAAAAAAGATTGAAAAAAAAAAATCATATTATAGAGTGATGGGGCTGGAATTGTTAAAACTTTAATTCCAAAATAATTTACACTTTTTAAAACTAAAAAATATTTTTTTATTTAAATAAATTTATTTTTTGTTTTTCATTATTTTAGCTACTAAAAAATAAAGAATTTTTGAAAGTATATATTCTACCGAAACAAACAAAGCGTTAGTAGTGTTGGAGAATCCAGTATAGGAAAAACATAGTGCAAGAAGAAAAGAAAAAAAAGAAGTGAAAGCAACTAATTACTGTAGAATTAAGAACTAAGAAAATAAAAGTAACTGTTAAAACAGGTTTGAGACAGGGAGTTGGAAGTTGACTTACATGCCAACTAGCTAAGTAAAGCAAGACCACTGAATCTACACAAACTTAAAAGGATTAATGAGGTTAAAAAGAAATAATGTAACTGAACATTTTCCTAGATATTATCATCCTACAAAATGCTAATCTTTTAAAAGATTTGTTATGGAAAATTCTTCTTTATATTTTCCAACTTGCTTTTTGGGTTTAAGGTGAAAGCTTTTGTTGTGATATGTCTTGTAATTTTATTACACATTCGAAGTTCCTGTAAAAGGCCTTTTGTAAAAGTGGAGGGTTGAAGTTGAAAATCGGAGTAAAAACTCAAATCATGCTTCACCTTGGCCAATGCAGAGGTCTGAGGCAACATTTATGATCCAAAGTTTTAGAGGTATATGTTACATTTTTTGTTAGGGTTTTTATTGTGGACTGGTTGAGTTTAGATGTCCAAAGTTCTTTAATTCTTATTCCATGTAGTGGATTTCATCTCCTTCCCTCTATAAACATAACCATATTACTGAATCATGTTTAAATTATATTTTGTGTATTTAATTTATTTCTCTTTATTGTAAATGCCATAACTTACAATTAAAAAATTTAGGTGTTATTGTACAGTCTCAAAGCAAATTTCTAAACAATGACAAATGAATCCAAATTATATGAAGCATTTGATATGAAACCATTTACGGTTCACTTACATTCAAAGTGATGGAATTTATGCATTCACCTGATGGCACAGGCAAATCTGTAGGATTTGTGTCAATTTTATGATCTTCAGTTGGCATCTCTTGTGGGCATAGAAAAGGTTTGGGAGGCATCTGCAGTTGTTCAACATTCCCTTCAAGCATTTCTACAACTTTGTTCATTGAAGGACGGTCACTAGGCTTCATTTGTATGCACCACAAAGCCACTATTATCATCTTCTTCACCATCACCCCTTCCTCCTCATTGGTCTCTCCCATTTCTATGTCCCTTCCTTCTTTGAATTGATCATAAATCCAAGAAGGAAAGTAAATTTGGCTTGTATGATCAGCAAAGGCATTCAAATTCCTCCTCCTACCAGTCATTTCCATCAGCAACATTCCAAAACTGTAAATATCAGCTTTATATGAAACGCCTCCAATGTTTTTGTAGAACAACTCTGGAGCCATATAACCCATTGTCCCTCTTGCTGCAGTCAAAGTCACAATGCTATCGTCAGTTGAATACCATTTTGCAAGCCCAAAGTCAGAAACTTTTGGAGTAAAATTCTCATCAAGAAGAATGTTGTGAGGCTTGATATCAAAATGCAAAATTTGCATGTCACAACCCCGATGTAAATATTCAATCCCGCGAGCCACTCCTAGAGAAATCTCATACATTTGCTTACAACTCAATGGTAGATATCCTTCTTGAGAAAATATATACTTTTCCAAAGACCCATTTGGCATGAAGTCATATATAAGAGCTCTCTTAGATCTCTCTGCACAATATCCAATTAGCTGAACCACATTAACATGATGAATCCTTCCTATGGTAGCAACTTCATTGATAAATTCTTGTCCATTGGCTTTGGGCTTGCCCAATACTTTTATCGCTACAAGATGACCACTTCTAAGCTTTCCTTTGTAGACAGAACCATAGCCTCCTTCTCCCAACTTGTCCTTGAAACCTTTGGTCATCTTTTTAATATCTAAGTAAGAGTAGCTAATTGGCATGAGGTGATTTTGACTTCGTAGATAACCTTCAATGTTATCGAACATCGATAAATGCCTTCTCTTAAACTTACGAATTAAAAATGCAAACGCACACAAGGCAAATAGAATTCTTGTCAAAAGGATTCCTCCTGTATATAAAAATCACAAGATGACAAATTAAAAATCATTTCTTGTCCTGCCGTTGTTAGAATTTGGAAGTATTTATCCTAGTGGTGGACAAATATTGGGTTAGGTTCAGACTTAGTTGGATTTAAGTTAAAAAAAATATGTAGAAAACTCTTGTCCCAAAGTCCAACCTAGTCTGACTTTGGGCCTAGAAGTCTCATCCAAAATCCAGCCCTAATCTAGTATTACAATCCCGAGCCCACCAAACAAGCCCATATATTAAATAAAAACTAATATTATAAAACTCAGAATTAATAATTTTATATCCACAAAAACTAAATATCAAGCCATATCCTAGGTATAAATTTAGATAAACAAATTTTCTATAAGTATATACATCTTAATAGGTAATATTATGGTAAAAAGGCATGTACTATAAACAAGTTACAACATTTGTGGATTTAATATCTACAAATGTCATAACTCAATTCTATGGGAGTTATAATTATAAAAATAAAAAATAAAAAATTATAATCAAACATCACATAAGATATAATCAAAGAGTTTTTGGATCATAACTAATATTATAATGAGTCATAATTAACATCACTATATGTATAACTAAGTTATATAATCAAGTCATAATTAATACCATAATAGGTCATATTAAGTACCATAAATGTTGTAATTACGAGGCATATGGTATATAACATTTCTCGTAGTATATGTTAACAATTGGGTCAAATCAGGCCACAAGAAACATTTCTAAATCCAACCCATTTAATAAGCAGGCTTAAAAAGTCATCCTAACCCAACTTTGTGAGCCTAAATATCAATCTTAAGACAGCCCATCAGGTCGTGCCCAACCCTAATCCACCTTAAAATCATGTGACAAAATAACTTTTTCCAATTAAAACGGGGGAGTATTTACCTATGATTTTGAGCTCGTAGCCCCAATTACGATCTAGAAGAAAAATTAAACAAAAATCAGCCGACATGCATAAAAATTACGAATGAATTAAACTAAAATCCAGAAACGAAAAAGGAGCTCACATTGACAATCCCGAGGATTCTTCCCTGGAACTTGAATTTGAAAGACACACCGCCTTAAAACTAACCATAATGAAATATTCAATTAGTCTTAATTATCAAAGTGATCAAAAGTGTCTTGATAGGAATGGGAAAAGTAACAGACTGAGATCCGACGATTTGAACATCGGTATGATAAAATTGCACCGCAACATATAAAAGTTTTAGGAACTAATATTTTTGATCCTTAAAAGTAAAAATCTTATTGCAAAAATATTAATTCCTGTTATCAAAAGAATATTTGTTAAAATGTTATTTTGAAAAGTCAAAAATAAAATTTTTAGCGACAATTTTGAAAATAAATAAGGAGCTTCTATTGTTTTCTTCCAAACAACTTTTGAATTAAATATTATGTGATTGTTCACAATAAATTAAGGTTTTGAAAATTAAAATTTAAAGATAAAAATACTTGTTAGGGAAGAAATATTTTTATTGTCAGAAGTGTTATTATTATATTTTTAACGATGAAATTTGAACATTAGCATTATCATTTTACAACCAAAATTTGTCTCTAATTTTTTTTTTTTTTTTGGAATCAAATTATTGTCACTAAAATGCATTTATTAGTGACATTTAAAATTTTTTTGTCCCTAAAAGCCATGTTTTTGACTTTTTAAAACATCTTTTTAATGACTATTATCACAACGACATGAATTGATCCCTAAATTTTTTTGCAACAAAAATTTCACACTCTTATAGGTTGTAATGACTTTGAAACAAATATGAATGGAGAAGGGAGAATACATACAGTTGTAGTCATTACTCAACTGATCTGCATTTTTTGAAAGAAATAAACAGTGTTAGAGACCAAAGCATAACTATTCCGTGGGATGTAGAAACTTGTGAAAATTAACTACTAAGAGATAAAAGGTCAATCCCAAAGCCTGATTTCTCCTTTAATTTTACAAACTAGTGTTCCATTTGGCTTCTTGTTTTTCAATTTGTACAATAAGAATTTTTTACTTTCAAAATGATCTTGCGGATTAACTGCATACCATATTTTTTTATTTAAAAAAACAATCCCCAATGTATATTCCAGGGTAATTACACTCTCATAGTTTCACTTTGTTCTTGGGGCTGGACTATCTTTCTGTCCAGATATTATTTGGGTTCCTGAGACCCATCATAGGTTCTATTTTGATAATTTAAACCATTCATTTTTTAAGATCTTTCATGTATATCATCTACCCAAAAGAAAAAACAAAATTTCAATCCGATAACCCTAACTTGTTTAATTTATTGTGTTTGTCACCAAAAAATAAAAATAAATAAAAATAAATAAATAAACATGGTCTATTTTTAAAAAGATACTTATCGTCTATTTTTTGGAGATATTTCAATAAATTGAACATATTGTAATTATTAGATTGTTCTTTTTTTTTTGTGAATAATATACATGAATGATTCTACAAAATAAATAATTCAGATTATCGAAATAAAACTCGGGATGAGCCTCATGGACTTGAACAACACTCCTCAGTACAGAGATTGGAGTGCAAACAATTTTTTCCCTTGTTTTTTAAATATCTTCTAATTACATTGATTAATTATTAGATTTCTAACTCTTGTTTAATGCTGATGTATGAAAAAAAACACTCTTGTTTTAATGTGTTTATCTGTGACCGACTATTTTAAATAAGTAAAAAATAAAACATAAGAATAAAAGTAGAAGAATGAAAGTCAGAGGAAGAAAATGATAATTTGCACTATAAATTTTTAAAACAATTCTAGAATGATCAAATCAAGCAAGTCAAATTTAAGTTTCACAGATTTGTGAAATAGTTGAGAAAATGAATCAGTATTACGGAGGCGGTGTCCGGCGCAGGGGAGCTTTTTGTGTTTTCTTCTAGACAAAATTTGAAAATAAACGTTGTATTATTGCTTAGAAATGAAACAGATATAGATGGAAGAGGGGGGAATACTTACACTTCAATAAATATTTCAACCCATCTGCAATTTTTGAAAGAATAAATAGTGTTAGAGATAAAAAACATTACTAGTCCCCTTGAAATATTGAGGATATTAATGCGAAAACGAGAACATGACACTGATAGAAACTAGTAAAAATTAACTAGTTAAGCCCAAAGCCTGATTCCTCATTTAAATTTACAACCTTGTATTGTCTATCATTTCAAAATTATGTGTTCCATCTAGCTTCAAGTTTTTGAATTTGTACAAATAAACAATGCAGAACTTTGAATTTCTACAAATAAAGATACACCATGTGTATCTTTTGTATTTTTGTAAGGGGTGATATCAGCTCATCACTAATATGTAGAATGTAAAAACTCACTTTTCAAGTGTAATTTCTTATTTCAAAATAAATTCTACATATATACATATAGTGAGGGTTTTTATGCATACATTATATTTTGTTATTGAAGGACATTTTTTTTTTTCTTTTTTTCTTTTCATAATTGTATGTAGGTATGTGTATTGAATTTTATTGTAATATTGAAAAAAATGTATAGCGTACGTCCCTAAAAACGTGTATATGGGAAGAAATGAAAGTTATGAATGTAATATGTAATATGATACTTTATTATTTGAAAAAATTACAAAAATAAGGCAGGGTTCTACCCTTATAACAAAATAAATTGTACATTTTTAATTTTATCAATTTAAACTCTAAATCTATCATTTTTTTTTTCAGTTTTACTTAACAAAAATAAGCAAATAACTTATATTGAGATTTTTTTTTTATAGAAATTAAGATTTAAATTGATAAAATTAAAAACTCAATATTTATTTTGTTATAAGAGATTATTTCTCCATATTTTTGTATTTGATAATAATAAAATGTTCATTATAAAAATAAAAATAATAATAAAATAAGATTAAAAAAAAGGGTGTCTTGGACGTACGCACCTAGAAAGGCCGAAAACCCACGTAGACCATGGCAAACGGCGGCGGTGTAATTTTGAGTATGATTGGAGGAGCAATGCGCCTGAAGTCTGCAATATTCGTAGTTGTTGACATACCAGTAAAGATCAAATCCATCAGCCAACGCGTTGTGGACCTCCAACAAGCTCGTCATGTTACGTTCTATTAAACGACCATCTGGAAGCCGCAACCTCATCGGAAAAAGCATGTCGACGCTGCATAAGTTTGCAACATCTGACCAATCAAGAGAATAGTCGACCAGAACGTATGCTTTTTCGACGATGACGAACCTCTGACTCCTCCTTCTCCACCTCCTCCTCGTCCTCCTTTGTTTTCACAGAAAGCAGTACTAATATTACTAGTAGTGTCTATGTAGAGAGGAGATTTCACTGGTTTTTCACAACTCACTAACGCTACAAATGATTCTGGATAAATATAGTAATCTATGGGACCTCCTATTTTAGGAAATTTAGTAGGAGTTAAAGAATGAAGAGGAAGAGAAGAGCAATTATTCCTCTGTATCCCCACATCCACCAGGCTGATGGTGCCGAAGCCAGTTTCATAGTAGTTGATGGCCTGCACGTAGTATTTACCAGAAAACAAGTATACTACTGTCCGATTGTTTTCGCACTCAAGTTCCACATTCTTGTATCCACAATTATCAACTGGGTCGGATTTGAGTCGAAAGGGGAAACGGATGTTATGGATATCTCCACAAGAAGAAGAATTACAACAATTTACACAAAAGAGAACATGAACAAGAAGGCTTATGTAACCAGCAGCAAAGAGGAGCCTTCCCCTAAACATGGATACACACACAGAGAGGTTTAACAAGGAAACAGAACCATAAATTTCTGTTGGCCACCCACCACGAGAGTTGTAGAGACTTACAAATGTAAACAAGGCTTCCAATACAAGTAGCCACGTTGGTTCATAACACCATTTGTCTCCTAATCTAGATTTATAACCAAAACAATAATGTCACCGTAAATTACACTCACTCCCCCTAAAGTTTTTTTTTTTTTAAAAAATACAATTAATTCAACACTTTCAACATAATTACATTGCTCTCCCTTGATACATTCAAAAATTTGTTAGTCTTTATTTTATTTGTTTACTTTGTTAACAAATGTTGATTACTCTATATTTTGCTAACAAGTGTTGATTACTTTTTTTTATAGGTAAAAATGCGATGCACAATATTATAATAATTTTCCGTCTGTTGATTTAATCTCGACTAATAGATGTGTTAGATTGAAACTTAACCGAAAGTCTAAACAAGTTGGCCTTCACTTTTTAAATGTCATGAGATAAAGTGGATTGTGGAGCTTCCAGGTGTAATATGCCCATAATGTTGTGATAACTTATTTTCTGATCTTATTTTATTTATTATCTTTTTTGTTCTGATTATCGGATGTCTAAGTCAATTTATACATATCTTAACTAATTCTACCATCCACTTGCTGGGGCTCAGTTAAGCCCAAGCAAATGTCCTGTATAAATTGACCTAAAACTGACCTAAAAAAAAAGAGTGCCCCAAGTTATATTCACTAGGCCAAGCACAAACACATCTTTCAAAATCCTAAGTTAAATCATCAAAATCATTCACTATCCAATAATACAATTAAAGTAAAATCATTCAAAATCCTAAACTTACCTAAAAGTAATTATTCATTAACTTTTACATTCATCCAAAATGTAATAACAAAATGACAATAAATTGTTGTCAAATTTCATTCAATTCAAATCCATTAAATAAAATAAAAGCATTTGCAAACTTGCAAACTCCATTATTAAAAAAAAAAAAAAAAGTCTAAGTGCGGGTAGGTTCTTGCGAGTGTAGGTAAAACCCGCAACCCGCAATAATATCATATTTCAAACCGCATCCGCCCTCATTGTGTTTGCGAAACCGCCCATTTGTATGCTGATTGGTTCAAGTTGAGCAGGTTGCGCGGTTCGAATAACTCTATGCCCAGCCCTATCCAATGCTATACTGTTAAAATGGATGGTCCCAATTAAATTTTGATATTATTATAGTATCAAAACGTTAAATTTTAGGTTTCATTTGGAAAATGGGTTGGCGCTTTGGCTTTTTACTCTGGATCTAAAAAGTCTCATTTGGGTTGAGTTTTTTTAAGTTTTTTTTTTTTCCTTTTGTGAGAGAAAAAAATAAAATAATTATGATTTGTAATGATATTGTCTTATTAAATTTTTAACCTATTTTATTTTTTTGTGATTATTTTAACCTGATAATCCCATGCCAAACAAGGGCTTAGTAATGTGACTTCATTGGTGTACTAGCTATTTCTCTTATTTTTTTCACACAAAAAAATATTCAAATTAAAATGCCATTAGTAAGTTTCATTGTGAATGAGAAAAATATGTCAAAATTTGGCATTTAGGTAGAAGACCACCTTATCACCAAAAAAATAAAAAATAAAAAGAAAAAATCTAAATATATTTTTTTTTCTTTTCTTTCTTTTTCTATGGTATGACTTGACTATAAGTGAGCCTCTGCAATTTTTTCCCAAAAGACTTGACTTGAAATGTAGACTTGACTATAACCCCTCGCATAAATTGTAGACTTGACTTGGATTATACATTAATGCGTCTCGTGTTTGACAAGTCAGCCAACTACTTCGATGGATTCATTGGTGGTTGAGTGGAGACCATAATCAAACCGTGTCGAACTACTCTGATGGATTCATTGGTGATTGAGTGGAGACCACAATCAAACCGTGTTGAACATTCAATTGCTTAGCCAAGTATTTGGGTGGGTCTTGAGTATTGCAAATTCAAATTCTATTACCATAAATGTGGTTATGATAGTTTATAATTTTTAATTATGAGTTAAGTAATATGTAATTATGACTTAGGTTTCGATAATTTACTAGTTTAGTTTAAAAGTTAAAAAATTATTAAAAAAATTAAAACCAACATATTATACACAAAAAAAAATAAGCATTTTATTTTCTCTTTACTTTTTGATATATCATCATATAGAGAGGTTATGGCATTTTTTTTTTAAATTTTATTCTTGATACAACTTTGTTGCATCATCTTGCTACTTTCAGTTATAACCAAAGTTATAACCAAAGTATTATAATAGATCACGACTAAACGAGTGTTGTTAATAACAGTCAATTTTTTTCTTTAAACTCTTACCCTTTTATATTTTTTTGTATTACAATTTTATCCCATTATAAAATTTCAATTTAGTTCTTATGACTAATTCTCAAACCTTAATGCTAACCTTATATCTATTCCCACCAAGTAGCTTTGACTATCACCCTTCCTAGCTTTGGCGATCCACTTGAGACATAATCTAATATACCTTGGTAACTAAAATAAAAATTATAATAAATTATATCTATCACTACAATGATTTATAATTCAAAAAAATTTGGACAGTACAACCATACTGAGTCGTAATTACACATTACTATAATTTGTAATGAAATGATTACAAACACATTGAACATAAGGGGAGCGCTGGGAGCCCCTCCCTCTAGGCAATTTCCGGCTTTCCTTTGGGAACTTTCCAGCATGTCTTCGGTGAGCTCCCAAAAGGCTTTCAAAGTGTAGATCTGAGTATTTTATGCCTAAGAATAAGGGTTAACAAATGTTGATTACTATTTATTTTGCTAACAAGTGTTGATTACTTTTTTTTATAAGTAAAAAAGTGATACACAATTTTATAATAATTTTTTGTCTACTGATTTAATGTCAAGTAATAGATGTGTTAGATTGAAATTTAACCGAAAGTCTAAATTGATGTAGGTGGGCCCATAGGGGCTTTTGGCCCACCACTTATGGTCCAATCTATGATTCAAACACTAAAGCCCAACTTTCCTGGAACCCAACGCTACACCAAGAACCAATGACATCTAGACACTTGTCAAGAGTAGAACCAACCACATCAGCAGACAAAGATCCTGCAGAGTTGTTGCACCACACATCAGCCATTAATGAGTTCTGCAGCATTTATTACGATAACCCCTTCATGTTGGAACATAACAGATTCACCACAAACAAGGCAAATTAGAACATAGACTTTTGGCCAACATGACAACTCGGAGTGGACAAGGAAATGATGAACAAAGGATATAAGCAGGCTTCTAAGACAAAGAGAAAGTTAGGCTGTGTTTGGTTGTGCTTTTGAAATGTGATTCTACATGCTAGTTTCAGCTCCATGTTTGGTAAGAGTTTTGGAATTAATTTTCCAAAACTCTGCCGAAAGCTCTGTCCATTCTGCACGTTTCTTGTATTTTTTTTGGCCAGGGGAAGACCGCCCAGTCGTCTCTAGGGACTACCACCCGGACGTCCTTGGGGACATCCACCAGGATGTCCTCTGTTGTACAGATTTTTTTATTTTTTTTTTTTTGCAATTGATTTATATAATTGGGAAAAATATTTTAAAAATATTTTCTGAAAATTTTTAAATTTTTTATATGTTTTAAAATAATTTTGAATTGTATGTTTAGTTATGAGTTGTAAATTTTTGTATCACATATCAAATATCACATCAACAATTCCCCACTCAAATCAAACCTCTTTTCCAAAACTATTTTCAAAACTCTTTACCAAACAAATTTTCTACACTCAAATCACAATTTTACAACACACAAACTCAAAATACAACTCATACTCTCAAATCACATTTACAAAACACAACCAAACGCAATCTTAAGTTCTCTATCACCATCCTATCTCTACATTCTATCACTCCCTCTCTTCTCTAACTTGTTCGTCAGAGAGTTCGCTAGGAGACTCCCCGTTTCCCGTTGAACTCTTGTGCAGGTTTCTCCATGGGTCCAATGATCGGACAATAGTTTGGGAAGTGTGAATCAACCCAACCTGTTCTATCTGGAGCACGCAGCATCATCAGTTGGCGTTGTTTGTGGGAATCCTTTCACTCTGTGTGGCAACTGTGCTCATTGTTGCCGGAGACCCATTCCCGATAGCCCATACCTGCCACCCACCAAGGTGCATGGTCACAACTAGATTCATGGCTTCTCAACACAACGTTGTCACCCCCAAGCCGACCCTCCTAACCCAAACAACCCACTGCAATATTTCACAGAACTCACCAACAGCATTAACCGCTTAGCTGAACAAAACCAAGCCTTGATCAATGCTTTGCTTCAAAGAGACCTTCCTATGCCTCCTCTCCCACCTCAAGATATCCCACCCAACCGAGAACGAGCCCCAAGCCATCACATCCAACAATCCCACCTATCCAACTTGGAGGGCTTGCAACCCCCTCCTCAAGATATGAACCCGCCATCTCAGCCCCCACACCCACCTGTCCAAGTCTTGCCCCTGAGGGAGAGGCCAGTAGTGTCCAGCCTCCATTGTATTCCGGAGGTGACAATGCTCCTCTTTGGGATGCAGAACTCCGAGACATGAAACTCCAGCTTCAAGGAGTCATGCAGAACATACAAAATAAACCCTCTACCACAGCCAACTCACCATTCGTTGCCTCTATTAGGGACAAACCCCTACCTCTTAAGTTTAAAATGCCCTCGATCAACTCTTTCGACGGTACAACGGACCTAATCAATGTCCAGCCTCCATTGTATTCCAGAGGTGACAATGCTCCTCTTTGGGATGCAGAACTCCGAGCCATGAAACTCCAGCTTCAAGGAGTCATGCAGAACATACAAAATAAACCCTCTACCACAGCCAACTCACCATTCGTTGCCTCTATTAGGGACAAACCCCTACCTCTTAAGTTTAAAATGCCCTCGATCAACTCTTTCGACGGTACAACGGACCTAATCAACCACTTGGAGACTTACAGGACCCTCATGGTCCTTCATGCATTCCCTGATGAGATCATGTATCGGGCTTTCCCTATAACGCTTAAGGGGTCGGCCCGACTGTGGTTTAGTCAGCTGCCGACGGACTCTGTCTCTACTTTTCAGCAC